TGTCATTTGCCGTCTACCGCCCTTGTTAGTGGACGGATTTCGAAACTTCTGCAGCCAAAATTGGGGGGAATTTCAAGGGCTTTGTGGCGGTTTTGTCGCTTTTCGAATCCCATTTTCGGTTGCAGAGTTGTGAGCGAAAGCACGGTTGATGCATCGAAAACTCGGCAAATTCAAATCAATTATTGGCGAAACGTTTACAATAGCGCTATTATTAGTTTTATCAACGCAATCCAAAAATTTTCTTAACAAAAAAGTGGGCGCCGGCGCCCAGCTTAAAAGGGCGTCACTGTTATTCTACGGTTGGCGTCGTTGTTCGCGGTTTGATTCAAAGACGCCTTGGTTAAAAGAGTGCAGATTTTAAAGTGCTTTTTGGGAGATTTTGAATTTTTGAAATCGGACCACTAATAACCGAGCTGTGGGCCATAGAGTGTTTTGGTGCTCCTCCCAAGGGGCGGCGTTGTCATTTGCCTTCTACCGTCTTTATTAATGGACGGATTTCGAAACTTTTGCTGCCGAAATTGTGAAGAATTTCAACAGCTTTGTGGAGGTTTTTTCGCTTTTCAAATTCCATTTTCGAAGATACTTGAAAAACAGCATTTAAAGATGAAAATTTCGTTCAATTTCAACATCCACATTGGAGTTTGGGTCAGCTTGTTGCATTTTGGTAACCGGGAAATTTTTCAAAAGGGCGGCGCTGTTATTTTGGGCTATAAAATCCTTGTTGGGCCCCCGATGAGAAATCTTTTCGGACGAAAAATTATCACACTCTCAAGGGCTTTGGGGATTTTTTTGAATCTCCGAAATCGCCCCCTTGATCGTGGAGTTACCAGCAAAAAACCGTTGACGTGCACAGTGAAAGGGCGTCAATGTCACTCGGGCTCTAGCGCGCTTATTTGCAGCCGCATCAAAAAACTTTCTGAACAAAAAACACGTGGAATTTCAAGGGCTTTTAAGGGCTTTTTGATTTTTGTCCGTCCGCCCGTAAATGGCGCAGTGGCGCGCAGTTAAACAGCCATTTGACGCACATCGGGCACCCACTCACGTAACTTTAGGGCGCCCATTAGCGATAAGGTGAAAAAATCACTTAATGTTCCCCCGGCCCGGTTCGTTAAATCGTGCGAAAGCACTCAGCGCCTGAACGATGAAAATCCCCCCCCCCC